TTCTCTCAATTTTAGGTCGAGTTTGATATAATTGAAGGACTGAAAGGTCCTGAAGCTGTCTGCGTTTCCGGCCCCGGTGGTGTTCGTGTTGGAAAGACTATTGGTTATATGTATAAAGGTACTTTTTACCATACATATCCGCGTTTCCGCCAACTTCCAATGATGCCTGGTCGTTATCCTGCTGGTCAACGCCGAAATGACAACAACACTGTAGAGCATAAACAAAATAGCAATATGGGGAAGAAGGTGGATGCTGGTGGTGAAAAGAATGGGAACCGTCATCAAAAGGCTATTGAAGGTGAAGGAAAGGCGGTCGTTCATGATGAAAAGACTACTGAAGGAAAAACGGTTTAATTTTTTGTAATTTTTATTTTGGGGAATTCGCTAGGGTTTTTGGGATCTTCCAAGCAGTTCAAGCATAGGTGGGGTAATTTTCATTTCTTCCCCTATTTTCTTTTTTTTTGCCTTTGACGATTTTTGAATTAATCAAAAGGGGTTAATTTTGTGTAATTATTCCGACAGGTGATTGTTTGATTCCACGTTTATGGCACGTTATTAACACCTCATGTCCATTCTCTCGGGGCACCCTTCTAATCTTTTGTTATACTAAAGTAGTTTTTCATGAAGAGATTTGAGATTGTTCCTTGCCTAATCAGAATGAGAATTTTTTTCATTTCTCATATTTGTCTATAAGGTTCAAACTTGATCCTTTTGATTGATTTAGTTGTCACAACTGAAACACAGGACAAATAAGAAATGAAAACGAGGCCCTAAAGGTTCGAAATTTCCTTATTAACGAAAATATTTTGGACGATTTTTTCGGGAAAATTTGTAGTAATTTTGAGTTTCTCTTCCCCCTCCTTTTTTTTTCCTTTATAAAAAGGAATTCAAAATTTATTTTTAGCGTTCCAACAAATAAGGGATGAGACAAGGCCCTTAAGGTTCAGAATTTCCTTTTTAACAAATATATCTTGGTGTCTTTTTCGGGGGAAAATTTATAATTTAAGTTTACCCTTTTCCCCATTTTCTTTCTTCCTTCTTTTTTCCTTTATAAAAAAATTCAAATTCCATTTTTAGCGTTCCAACAAGAAGCGTTTCCATCGTCGCTACTACCGTCATCCAGTTGCAGACAAATCCAAGAGCGCCACCAATACTTCCACCAAGGGAGGAGAGGATGAGAAGAAGGAGGAGGAGGTCGTTGGTGGTGAGGCAAAGAAGGATGGAGAGGGGCAAGGAACGAAGGAAGAGCCATCAACTGTTAATTCGACGTCCACAGCTACTTCTCCTCAGAAATAAAGTTTGTTTTTTGAGGGAAAATAAAATTCTGATAAATTTGTTAAGATTTGATAGAGTTTTTCAATGTGACACTTTACACGAAAATAAATTTTGAAAAAAAAATTAGAGAAAAAAATGTGAATTGATTTTGGGGGGTTTTTGTTAAATTTTCAATTCATTTCTTTTTTTTCTTGAATAAAAAAAGGTTATTTTTTTTTAAAGATAAAATGTTTGGAATAAAATCTAAAAATGTGATTTTTATATTTAAATTAGTTTTTGTTAGATTGCCTGATAAGGTTAGGCGGACTCCTCACCCCCCCCCCCCCCTATGGTTTTCGGAGACTTATATCTCGGTCCACAGGCCGCACCCTGGGAGCGGTACCATTCGACTCAGCTCGCTGAGTCGAATCTAATGGTAAATATTTCGAACCGGCCACCGGCTAAAGTACAGCCTTATGTTACGAACCCAGAAACCGTAGGCCGTAGACCCCGCGAGGCACAAGCTCCATAGGTTTAGGTTAACCATTTTGAAGGCTACCCGACACTTGAGGATATGACTTTTGAGGACCAGACACTTGAGGACCGACTTTTGAGGACGCGACCTTTGAGGGTACGACCTTTGAGGACGCGACCTTTGAGGATGCGACTTTTGAAGATCAGACATTTGAGGATACTCTAATGTCAAAAATATTAATTTTACATTAAAAAATTTAAATTTTATAATTTTATGGCCTGCTCAGGCCTTATGAGCAAATAGTGATCGTTATTAAATATAATCATTAAGTTTTAGAAGTAGTCCGTGTCCGTCCGTGTTTTGTGTGTCCGACAAGACAAAAACAAAACACAAAAAATAATAATTTTTTGCTTTTAATCTTTTCTCTATCATTCGTTTGAATAGGCCACAGGGGAACTTATTGAAAGTATTGGCCTTACAAAACTTGGTATTTCTCATCTGACCTTCAAAAATTCTCAAAATTTTTGCCTGCGGCGCCTAAAAAGGAGAGATCTGGCTCATAAACTTCCAAAAATCTCAAAATCTATTTGGTTGTTATTCCAAACTTCTAAATCCTCTTTAAAGCCCCGTTACACTACATATCCCTAATATCCTTACAAAACTTTCTTAATCCTATATTCTTCCAGACATCGAAGTATTCTTCCGATATCCATTCGAATCCGCTGATATCCTTGTTTGAGCGTGATATCGAAAGATCAATAGGTTAACCTCCTTTGATAACACTAAATCCGCCTTGATCATTTTAGACCCCTTTTATCACCCGATATCAATCAAATCTCTTATATCCAACAAATTCACTTACACACCACCGCTAATCTTTAATAACTCCTTAACCCCAAAAAACACGCGAATCATAAAGAAGAAAACGGTTTCCGCTGTGTTCATAATGTCAAAAAAATTAAAAAATAACACTAATTTTTTTATTTTTAATTTTTAAAAATATTAATCTGGAAAATTCAATATTTGCTCGTTAGGCCTGAGCAGGCTATAAAATTATAAAATTTAAATTTTTTAAAGTAAAATTAATATTTTTATTTTTTTGACATTAGAGTATCCTCAAATGTCTGATCTTCAAAAGTCGCATCCTCAAAAGTCGCATCCTCAAAGTTCGCGTCCTCAAAGGTCGCGTCCTCAAAAGTCGGTCCTCAAGTGTCTGGTCCCCAAAAGTCATATCCTCATGTGTCGCGCCACGATTTTGAACCTGTTTATCCTTTTTCTCTTGTATATAAACCCCAACTTATTTTCCGTATTTTTGACTTATCGAGAGAATTCCTTAGTGAGACCTCCTAGTTGGCCTCCTTATCGACCTTATCCTAGCCCTTGCCCCTATCGACCATTATTACTAGAGACCGGATATATATGCATTAAAAAATGCAAAATATGCACTATAATATGCATAAAAATTTGACAAAATATGCACAAAAATATGCAAATATACCAAAATATTCACGAAATTATGCAACAAAAATACAATTTATACCTAGGATTTTTATTTTTTTGAATCAAAAGCATTAAAACGCCTACTTTTATTAAGATTACTCTCATTTTAAATGTATTTAATTACTATTTAATTACTCCGACAAATATATATTTTATATATTTTTATACAACTATATATATTTATATACAAATATATATTTTTCATCTATTAGACATTTTGAGATGAAACGTTTAGGTGATGGGACACTTTGGGATGGGACGTTTTGGGCGTGAGACATTATGGGTATGGGACATTTTTGGGTCTCGCCCAAAAACAAAAAATTTTTTTGCAAAATTTGTAATTTTTACAAATTTTTTCCTAAATTTTTACTAAATTTTCAATTTTTGGTAGGATTTTGGGCAATTTTCGAGTAATTTTCCCCAAAAACCTCAAAATATGCAGTAAAATATGCATTTATGCAGCAAAGTCCGGAATATGCAAAAATATGCATTATATGCAAATAGAAACCCCCTCTAGAGTTTTCAAAACATGCGGAAACAGTGTTTTTTGTGCATTATACATCATGCCGAGTTTGCAAAAAAAATATGCATTTGCATAAAAATCCGGTCTCTAATTATTACATATTTGTATTACACAGGGTGTGTTCTGTTATACTGTATTTCTTAGTTGAAATACCCTGTAATATTTTGAGCTTATCCTCAGTATATATTATCTTTTAAATAGCCACGATTGGCGTTATGTTTTAAAAATAGATAAGCGAAATATTGTGTATATTAGAGAAAAAATGAAAAGAAAATTTTTGATGAGTAATTTTTTTATTTCTCTCATCTTCTCCGGTAGAACCTCGATCCAATATTGTCGATTCAGAATGGTCCTAGGATTTAAAAAAAATTAAGTCAAAGCTTCCATTTTTTAATTTTCATTAGAACGGGCTCTATCTGAAAGGAGGTGTGGGATCATATTTTTTCCTCCTTCCTTACATAGTCAGTCTACCTTCCATTATCCTTAAAATAAAAAAATGGTCAGTCTTTACCTCACCTTAAATAGCATATTCAATTAAGAGACATTAATAAGAACTGACTTGTTTAAGGAAAGAGGAAAAAATGTGATCACGCACCTCCTTTAAGATAAAGCCGATTTACGTATTCTAAATCCGGAACTTGTATGGTTTAGGTACGCTTTTTTATGCACGCCCCTTTTTCCTTTTCCATCATTATTCTTTCACTCTTTTTCCCTCTCAACCATCAATCAATTCAGTTGAGGTCAATTTTTTGTTTAAGACAGAACTGAGTAGGATGACTCATCGAGCTGAGTTTGTTTTGGAACTTGTAAATAAACCATAACAAGTTCCGAGACGGGAGCAGGCCAACTTACCGCGAGCCCAACTTACCGCAGAGCTATAACTTCGTTCAGAATTGCCGAATCCGGTACGCCTTTGTATGATTCGATGCGTCTCGACGAGCTGAATCGAACTATACCAGGGTGCCCCGGATTCGACAATTCTGAACGAAGTTATAGCTCTGCGACGAGTTGGGCTCGCGGTAAGTTGGGGTGTACCCTTCCGAGACAAATGACATTAGAATTGGTCCGTGAGATCATTGAGCCGAGTTACAGGGGTCCAAAAAATTCTAAAAGGGGTAAAAATGGAAAATTTTTTGTAAGAAATTTGACAAAAATAGCAACTGGAGCGGAAAGTTCCTACCTTTCTTTCTATTCTCCTATTTTTGGGCAGTTTGTTTTGACTTTAATATAAAATTCAGAGATAAAATGATGATTCATATTCAACGTTTAATCTTGACTATTGAAACTCGAGCTCATAAAGGACTTCTTCGTATTGCAATAAATGGACTTAAAGATGATGATGGGAAGCCAGTAACTGAAGGACAGAGAATTGGCAGTCAACATAAAGCTTTGGACACTTTGATTTGGATCTTAGAGGAATGGAAGTCTAATGTGCACTCTTCTGAGCTTCAAAAGCTTACACGGTATATACATTTTTGGGGGTAATAGTTTGTCATTCGCCCCCCTTTTTTCCCGTTTTCCCGACCATTTTGAGCTTTGTTGAATGATAGGGTACAGCCCAAGTAGGCGTGCGGCCATAACGGCGCAAAGCCATAACTTGCTTCAAGAATTCCGAATCTTACCAAATTTACTATTAAACGATTCCGATCATCGAGCTAAAGAGATTGGTACCAAAATTGACAATTTTCCAGCAAGTTATGGCTTTGCGCCCTTATGGCCGCGCGCCTACTTGGGCGTGTCCCTGCATGATATATAGTTTATTATATATCATTCGAAACAGCTCTTCGAGCTTAGTCGAATGATACAAAGATTGGCTAGATCTGATGATTCTTACAAAAATTAGAAAGCTATAATTTGCCATAAAATATGAAGAAACTAGGAAAAAAAATAGAAACGAAAAAAGGGGGGCGAATTCCAAACTACTATTACCTTTTTAGGCACTACTATTGGTTTGGCCTTTCCACTAGAGAGGACCGAGGCGAGGTCTCGGTCGAAGCCTTGGTTATTATCTCAATTCTCGTACGACACTCCCAGTCTGGTCTCTCCCAACTTTCTACTTGTTCTTCATTTTAATTGTTTTTAGGCTTTGTTGGTGACATTGGGTTGTTTTTTCTGTTTTCGGACCTGTATCATGCGAAAGATCCTTGAAAACCGAGTCAAATTAGCAGGGGAATGTCGGCCTACAATTAGGGACCGAGTTGCTGATCTTGAATACCTAAAAACCTTAGAAGGACCAAGCGGTTTGCTGAGGGCCTCTCGCCATATCTCTTATGTTTATTGCCTAATCTCTCTCCTCAATTATTTACCTAAATCGTTCTATTTACCTGAAACGAGTCTAAAAATTTATATATAGAGGAAAAACCACAAAAAACCACTCTCTACTCGTGCCATGTTTTACCAATAATTTTCATATAAAATTTGACACTTTTCAGAAACGCTATCGATCTCTTCTCTGATTTGTTGTTAGACTCAATTCCTTCTATTTTACAAAGTGCTTATGTCAATTCGTCTTCACGAACAATTTCTCATAAATGGACTATTCTTTTGTGTGACTTTATTCAAATAATTCAGTGGCCACCGACTGGACTTTCTTTAAACAAAGCTTTTCAATTCATGAACACTTTATTTGTTGGATTAACTAAATTATTGGAGGAATTATTTAAAGTTCAGCGTGCCAGTTCTCTGCATTGGCTTTTTGTTCTAATTGGTTGTGTTGTTGAGGTTTTTTTATTTTTAATAAATTTTGTTAGGAATTTTGAATTTTAAAGGTCTCATTTTCATTTCTCTATTTTCCTAGAAATTTAATCGGTAATAGTCGGTTTCGTACCCCCTCTTTTTCTGGCCATTTTTTCATTTTTCTTCTCTATCTCCCTTATTTTTCATGAGAAACTCATCGAGCTGACAATGAGTCGGGTGACACAAAAATCAACGTAATTGGACAAGTTTTAACAAAGTTATGACAAAAGTCGGCAACTCAGATAGGTCTACATAATGTCATATCACGTTGATTTTGGTTCATCCGACTCAGCTCGACGTGTTCCTCATGAAAAATAAGTGAGATAGAGAAGGAAAAATGAAAAAATGGTCAGAAAAAGAGCGGGTACGAAACCGACTATTACCATTTAGTCTTCATTTTTCAATCAAATTCGGGTCTTTTGAGCTATTGAAATCATTGTTATTTGGGCTTGTTTTACGATAAATTTGAGAATAAGATACTTCTCATATCTTCTCACACCTCCTATATCTTTTATACGCCTAAAATTTGTTGTCATAGTTGAAATTGTTGGAAATAGAGAAGAAATGAAATATGGTTCCTATGTTTAATTTTCAATTTTTTCATTTGTAGGATTGTACAATCACTCCTCTTTCTGCCAAATTTCCTCAGTTGGCAGATTCTGCAGATAAATTTATGCTAAAATGCGTTGAAGTGTTGACACTTATTGGTCGATGTTGGTCTAAACAATGGACAAATAGTTTACACAGCAAATTATCGAGAGAATATGGACTTTCTGGATTTATTTTTGATGAGGTTTTGATTGAGATTTTGATTTATTTTATTTTTGAAATTTTAGACAATGTTCGATTTTCCTGTAAAAGTTCTTTCGTCTGTTTCTGGAGTTCTTCAACCTCCTTCTACAGCACAATTAGATCAACAACAATCGAATTTGAAGAAGGGATGTCTCAGCAAACAAAAAGCTTCCAAAAATGCAACTTCGTTTACTACTTCCCAACAGCCAAAACTTGTTTGGGCTACTGCGAAACCATCATTTGATGAAATTTATACTGAAGACAAGCAACAGGTTTTTTCGATGACTTAAAATTGTAAAAGTTATTAAATTTTCTTTTTTTTAAAGAATTCGCCTTGGTTTGCTGCTCCGGGTATTTTATCTATCTTTTTATCAAAATTTGTTTTTTCAGGTTCTCCTTATATTCCTCCTCCAAGTTTTACTAGTGGAAATTTTTCGATAGATCAAGGTTATTTTATTTTAATTTTTTATTATTTATTTTTAGATCTTTGGAAAACAACTCCCTCAACAAACACTTTCCAGCAATGGACAAATTCCTCAATTTATGATTTTGGCAATTCTAATTTGATTAGTGATTTAATTGAGGATTCGAAATTTGCAATTGAACAGACAAAATTAGCTCTTGAACAGTCTAAACTTTGTCGTCAAATGGTTTGGAAATTTTTAGAATATTTTATTTTTTAATTAAAAATGGTGTCACATCCTGAATGGGGTGTTTTGTTGGGGTACGGGGATTTCAAAAATTGTTTCGGGGTGCGGATAAGTTGAAATAATGGCTAGGGAAGGCGTCATGATTCAATTCTAATTTTTTGGTCTTCGAAATTTTGAGTTTCATTTTGATCCACATTTACCTAGGTCGAAAATCAAACGTCATCAGCTGCCAATACATCGAGAATTTATTCAGAAAATAACAAGTTTCCTCCGACTTTTTGCTCAACAGCTTCGATTCTTTCCGACTATGCAATTGTAAATTTTAATAATTTTTTATTTTTTAATAAAAATATTTCTAGGATGAAATGGATTGTATGGATATGTTTTTTATTGACGACAGTACAGATTGTAATCTTCGATTTTATGGTGATATGATTAATAATGAAAATGGTCAAGGCTCTAATAATGCCAAAAATCCTCACAAAAATATTTTTCCAAGGTTTTTTACTTTTTAATTTGAAAATTTTTTATTCTTCAAGTGTCGGATTATCTTCTGAATGGCCTAAAAATCTGTCAGGAAATATGCCTCCATCAACTTATGGAGATCTTAGCGGTTATCAAACTGCTTGGAAGGATACAAACGACACAAACAAAAATGGTTTGTAAAAATTATCGTTTTAACATCATTTACAAATTCAGGAAATCCTTCCACTAGTTCATCTCTTCATCGCCATCATTTATTAATGAATCACTTGACAGGATTGTTGGAAACGGAGCCTTTAATTTTTTCTTGTGTTTATGGTACAGACCACATTCGAGTTCTGAATGAACAGGAAAATGAGAATTTTGATCTTCCTACTACGTTTTCTTCTGATTTGAACAAGAAGGGTGAAACTTGTGATGATGGAAGAGAACAAATGGTTTTTTTATATTCTAGTCTTAGATTTTTTTATTTCTTAAAGCTAGGGATTTTAGCGGCCGGTTATTGCCTGTTAATCCAAAATTCAAAAACTCGGTTTTCGAGCTTTGAGTTTTAATTGAATATTGGTTTTATTTTAGGGAGTTAAAACCCTATCATAATTAAAACCCATTTATTAACATAAATTATTCTGTAAAAAGGGGGACATTTAAGTCTAGTTTTTAAATGGATCATCCTTTCCCACATTATATTGAGGTTTATTATTTTCTAATTTCAGGATAAAGTTGCTGATATTTATTCACTCAAACACCAACTTCAATATCAGCAACATCGTCTAAAGAATCGCCAACAACAAAAATTTTCTACAAATTCTGTAAACGATAATAATTCTAATAATGCTTTAATGGATATATTTGCTGCTGCTTCAGTAACAGAAAATTCAACTTTAGACAATAAGAAGGAAAATGAATCGAATAAAGAATTGGATACTGCAAATGAAGTTGTAGATGTTATAAATACTCAATCGGAAGTTAATGTTAATTCACAATTGCTTTCTGGTGAAAATACTCCAGCAACTCTTGGACTTTCCTCTGCGAGTACATTTGGAGTTCCAACTACTCCAAAAACTACACCTTTCCAATTGACACCAACTCCACTTTCGCCAATTGGTGGTAGTGAAGCTGATTTGGAAGAATTGGTAATGTTGACTGGTGAAAGTGATATTAATCAGCAAAAATCTGAGGTTTCTTATCTTTAAGTTCTTTAAAATTTTTGAACATTTATGAGTTACCGCAAATGCTCTAATTAAAGTCCTAAGCATCTATTTTTCACCTATCTTTCAATAGGCCAATTTGAGTCAGCTTATATTACTTTAGACATGATCTTTACTGCTTGTGCGTTTATTTTTTAATGAGCCTTTAATTAAAGCATTTCGTTATCTATTTTTGTACTTCCATATATCTCATTCTTTTATATTTTTCAGTCTCTTCCAATACAAAACGGATCTGTCACTCAAACACTTAAACAATTAAATCGGAAATTTTCTCCACATTCTTCCTTCTTTACACAACTTCCACGTATTTCTTTATGTATTGATAGAATGACAGCAGGAGCTCAAAAATTTATTGTTTTGGATTTCGGATATAGAGTTATGTTGAGCGATTTAATTGTGCCTGCTTCAGAATATATGTCTTCATTACGTATTGATGCATGGTTGAAGGATGAAAAGACAGACAGTATTTTTGTTGCGAGCACTTCAGAAATTGGAGCAAAATCTTTGACGATCAGTGATTTGCTTCCACCGATTATTTGCAGATTTTTGAAGGTTTTTGTGTAATAAATTTACATTTTTAATTAATTTTAGTTGACTTACACGGTTCGTCAGTTATATAATGAACCTTGTACAGTTAATTTGGGACAGTTTTTTGGAGCAAAAATGGTTGATTTTGAGGAGGATTTGGACGAAAACAATGTGCGATTTTTTTCTATTAAATTATTTTTTATAATTTTTAGATACTTGCTGAACTTATCTTTTTGAGTGATTCTTTAAAAGTTGCTTACGAGTGTTCGGCAAATGCTATTAAGGGCATACTTCGTGATGATGGAAACCCAACTTTTGAACAAATTCGGCGTCGTTCAATTCGTCAGCAATACAGGGAATGCTTTGCTCTTCGTCTTGAATATAATATTGTGAAAAATCTTATCACACGAATCCAAATGGACAATAAGGTTTTGGATGAAAATGAAAAGAAGGAATTAAAGCAACAACAATCTGGTTGGAGTATGATCGGTTTGGAACAGTTAGCTGTAATGGCACATCGTTTAATTGCTTTATTGAATTTATTCTCAGCATTTACTGACGCGCGTAAAATGATTGTGGTTAGTTTTTAGTAATCCTTTAACAGGACTGATAGATCTGGGTCTGGGTTGGATCTACATGTAACCTTATATTTCCTTATTGAATTTCGAAAACTCGATCCTAGTTTTTTCTCAACCCGGTCTGATTTGAATCCAAATCACAAACCTTGTTCAAATTTCTTCGTTATTAATCCAGTTTTTTAGCTTCCACCTACCAATCAGCCCATGCCGAGTGTTTCAATTTCTCAAACTAATTTACTTTCATTGGACACTGCTGTTTTACATTTTGGTCTCTTTTGTATGGATTCTTTGCCTAGACTTAGAGCCGAATGTATATCTTGGCTTTTTCATTATGGTGTTTATACAAACTGGTGGGGGAAATTTTTTGTTGAAGTGCTAAATCAACATTTTGCTTCAAAAATGTGTCAAAAGAATTTGGATAGGTATAGAATTTAATTGAATATTTTTCAATAATTGTTTGAATATTTTCTAGTGCTTTTATTATCTTGTCGTATTTGTGCAGCGAGACTGTTAAATATCCACGTTTCCAGGTTTTCCTTTTAAACTTTTATTCGTTCACATAAAAACATTTTGTTTAGACTAACATTATTGAGCAATTGGTCCTCTCAGTTCTTGCTCAATTGGGTGTTTCTTCCACTGACAATGACATCAATTTCAGCAGTTTAAAACAGCCAAGAAGTGTTAATTTTAAAATACTTCTTTCTTGGACACTTATGTTAATCTCTTCTGCTTTTGATATTATTATATCTAGTTTGTTTTTTAGTTTTTAAAAATATTGTTCTATAATCCGACTTCAGAAAAGCGTCAAAATGATCGCTGGTTATTTTTGGGTGGAGATTTTGGACCAGCAAATTCTGGCGCCGCCGACCAATTTAATGCCACAACTTGTCCAACTCTTCAACGTGGCTATGCTATTAAAAAGAAATATGGAACTGCAAAATTTGCGGGCCCATCAAGCTTTGTAAACGTTCCAAATGTCGCTCCCTCTACCAGTTCACAGTCAAAGATGATTACTCCTGTTAAGAATCACTACAAGACATTGATTGATAAATTGGAGAAGATGAAGCAGAGCGAAACGGTTAATAATTTTTCTTTTTTAATATTTAATTTGTAATTTATCATCTTAAAAAAGTTTTCCAATTCACAGATTTCACTTGCCAAATTGGAAAAACTTAAAGTTCATCTAATGCATATACAATCACTCTACTCAAACTTCAACCAGTTGAGTGCTGAAGATAAGGAAAAATCTGGCAAATTTCCTGAAAAATCTGGCAAAACTTCTAAATCAGCGGCTAGTACCTCTGCTGTAATTCCTGATACAAAATCTACAAAAACACGTCAATATAGTATTCATCTTCGATTGTCACCACAATTATGTCGTCTTTTTGTTAAAAGCTTATTGCAGCTTTTATGTGAACATTCGACTGATGCAACTCAGCTTCAAATACAAACTTTGTTGCTTGTGTTTAAGGTTTATTAATTTTTAAAAATTTTTTTTAAATTTGTAGGTTATTGCAAAAATTTGTGTGCATGGTAGTGCTCAACCAATTCCCGTTTCTGTTGCTTTTGATACTCATTTACAGCAACTTTTTACCCTTGGTAATTTTTCTGTTTAATTTTTTGATTAAATTGTTTAAGCATTTAATGATTTTGACGAGCCGTGGATACGTCATGCATTGTTGAGCATGCTCTTGGATATAAGTGAAGCAGAAATTCGTTCATTAAGCCGTATTACAAATGTGGATTCGTCTGGAAATTCAGCAAAACGCGACGAGAAAATGGATACAGAAGGTTGTTGTACTGGTGCCTTTTCTTCAATGAGTTTGTTTATTAAAGTAATCAATAGGGCTAGGATTTTTAGGCACTATAAAGTTAAAAATAGGCGCCTATATAGGCACTAAAAACTGCCAAAATAGGCACTAAAATACGAAAAAAAGGCAAAATAGGCAAGAGTAGTATGCACGAGATATGCACAAATGGGCTAAAATTTAACAAAAAAGTTAAGTCTAAGCAATAGAATGAATGCTAAATAAATTAATTTCGATGATCAGAACTACACAGAAATCAATTTATATTAATTATTTTGTTTACTAAAATAATTTGGATAAATTTCTAAGGAAAAAATTTTTTTGAAAAATTATTTTTTTGTAAAAAATTTAATTAAAAAATTTTTTTTGGAAAAATTATATTTTTTACCAAAAAAAATAATTTTTAGACAACAAATTTCTCAAAAAATGCTCAAATATGCATAAATGTTAGCAAAAATATGCAAAATAGGCTGAAAAAAGGCAAAATAGGGCATTTTACCAGAAAAAGTTGAAATAGGCAATTTTAGGCAACGATAAAACTAGTTAGAAAGAAGATTTCAGTAAAATAAAACCGGGTTTGAACGTTTCAGCATCAGGCCTATCTAGGAAAAAAACAGGCATTTTGCCTAAAATCCTAGCCCTAGTAATCAAGGAATAATTTACTTATCTTATCAGATGATGCAAAACGTCGGAAAGAAGAACAAACTACAAATGATTTGCCAGTATCTGACGGTACTTCTGAGAAAATTCTTCAACAAATTGAAAAAACAATAAATGAAACCTTGTTTAATGATGATGATGAAATTATTGCTGAGGATGTTATTCCAGATGAGACATCACCAATTGTTGATGAGGGTCATAATCAATTCTTTGACAATTTGATTGACACAACCCTTTCTGAAGCAACAACAATGGCGGCTGCTAATTTGGCTCCTTCCTCTACTTTAACTTCTCAAAATGGTTTTTGGATTTTTAAAAAATTTTCTGATTTAATTTTTAGTTAAAACCACAGAATCTACTTCAAATAATTCTTCCTCTGAAATTTGTCAATTTGATCCTATTGCTCTTCAAATGTTCAATGTTTCTCGGTTGAATTTAGCGAATAACATCAATATTCAACCAATTGCCCTTTCTGTTGATTTGCAATATGATTTTTGTGTTTCTGAAAAACAAGCAATTACAAATTGTAATGATTCTGTATTTTTACAGGATACACTTATAAGGTTTTTTGTAAGTATATCTTAATATTTAAAAATATTTTTAGAAATTCTTTTCGTCGTCTTTTACTTCTTCGTTCTCTTCCACCAAGTAATTCTTCAAATGATGAAAATGTTATGAATGAAGAAAAGAGAGATGAAGCCATAGGTCAATGTATGCAAACAATTATGGGTGCAATTGATCAACTTTTTACTAATCTTCGTGCTGACAACAAAAATAGCAATGTTCGACCAGCATTTGTTGAACGTTTGTTAGATTTTTATTGGCAGGTTATTTTAAAAGTGTTTTTTTAATTTTAAAAAATTTATCCTTTTCTTTAAAGTATCAATCAAATATTGGTGCCTTCCTTAACTCTAAAAGCAATTTGTCTATTGCTAAATCGCCTCTTTTTACTGTCCCAGCTTTGAGCGATAATGCTGCATGTTCTCTTATTTCATATGCTGCAGATAACCCTTTTATTTCTGAACTTGTTTGGACTCGAGTACTTACAACTTTGAATACTTCAATTCAAAAAATGGTTTAATTTTTTATTAAAAAAATTATTTTCAATTTTTTCAGCCTTATTTAATTGAATCAATTGTTGGTTCCGGCAAACTTTTTGGATTTTTCCAATATTTTTGCTTTATTGGGCCAAGCTGTCGAGTTCCAAATATGCCGCCTAATACTGTAAAAAAATTAATTTTTTCTAATTTTAATTTTTTTCAGGAAATTGGACCATCATTGGATTCTGTCTTTGAATATTTTGTGCATTTACTTATTAATAAAAGTAATTCTTCGCTTGTAACCTTAGTTGTTGACATTCTTCTTGATGTTTTAATTTCTGTTTTTTCTAAAAGGTTTACTCAAATAATTTTTTTATTCTAAATAATTTTTTTAAATAGAAATTTCATAACTTTGAGCAAATTCTCACTTGGCGCTCTTCTCAAAATATCTAGCGTTCTAGCTCAATTTACTCAAAAATATGTCAACAATTGTAGTCTTCCAAAAGTTGCACGTCTCTATTGTGTATTACTTGCTTATTCCAAGAAAATGGTACAACGTGCAGTTGATCCAGATGCTCCCGGACAATTTTTGCCAGGAGAGGATGAGTATGAATATTATTTGGTTAAATATTTCTAAAAATCTTTTTATTTAAGGAATACTTCCTCTGTTTCTTCAAACATGTTTGGAATATATAGCCATTATGGAAATGGACAGTCATTTTCTGTAATTAATGCACCAGCTAAAAATATTTGCTTCAGCAATATGGATTCTGAAAATCATTTTGGAATTACTAATGATCCTCTTGATTTTATTGGAGGTCCAGCAATGTCTTCATACGAAAAAATGGATGGAAAAATGGATGGAGGGTTTAATAGTTGTTGGGGTGTTTCTACTCCTCCATTTTCTTCAACATTTTCTTCAAGCGGCATTCCAATTACTTCATCGCTTTCTAAGAAAAAAGTTACGCCTAAAACAACAAAATCTATGGCGCAAAAACAGATTGGGATTGGCTCTATTTCAAATATGCCTGTTGATGAAGAACATCTTGAGATAATAGATCAAAATGATTTGGCAACTTCATATTTTGGAATGTGCCCAACTGCTTGGATAACTGTGGGGCCTGGTTCGATGCCTCCACCACCACCGCCTCATTATGGAGTTCCATTTCATTCATGGACTGGTTTGTTATTTTTTAATACCTATTTATTTTTGTCCCAGCATTAAAATTGAAAATTTTTTTTGTTTTTTGATTAGTTAGAACATTTTTCTAGGTTAAATTTTTTGAACATTTTTCCATTCTATTTTGTGTTATTGGCATATTGTTCTTTTTTAATTTTTCTATTAATACAGTTTTCGATGATAGACTTCTTTTTCTATTGATTATACATTTTATTTTTCCTAGGAACGTCTTCAACTCGTAAAGGAACTAAAAGAATGGAAACTCCATCTGTTGTGGTTATGCATGCCAATAAAATTGAGACTGTTTTGTGTAATTTGTTTAAATCAGTTAGTTTTATTTCTTATTTTATTTTTTTAATAAAATTATTCAAGATTTGTGTTGTTGCTCGTGATAATCATAATTTAGCTCAAATGCTTCTTGAAGACGATTTAAATGTATTTTTGTCCGATTCTTTTGAATTTTTGTCATATTGTGTATTAAATAATGGACAAACATTGGATAGCATTTCAGTTGAAAAGTATTTTTTTTTTGATTTTAGAAAATTTTATTTTTTTGTAAATCAGGTGGAAGATTGTTTCACTTGCTGATGCTATTCTTTTTTCTGTTTTGACAATCACTAAACATATGGAAATTAATATGTTTACAAGTGACACGGATGATGAGTCATCACGTCGTTTAATGCAACTCTTGGTTCAAAATTTGGTTAAATCGAATGTATCAAACGCTGCATCAGGCCAAAGTTCAAATATGCAGACACGCGGTAATTGACATCTTTTGGTTATTTCGTTGGTAATGCCAAAGCTGGCCCTCATTTTTTCTGTTCCCCTGACCATTGAGCTTTTTTGTTTGACATATAATTTACAATATATCATTCGAAAAGCTGTTCGAGCTGAGTAGAATGATACTATGATCGGTAAGATTTGGCGATTCTGAACAAAATTACGAAGATAAATCCTCGATGGACATGCTTTTTGTGGTAATCATGAACAATTGGGGAGAAGCCTTAAAAACACATTTAAAATTAATATTTTTTCTGAAAATAATTTTACTTAGGTAATCGACCATGCTGAGTCCGTATCTGAGCTTAAAATTTGTTTATTTCGAACCTCGGATCCGAGTTCGCCCAAGTCGAATTCGGGGTAGAAATTCGAAATTACGATATTATGGTCATTTTTACTAGTCTCTTTATTCTGAGTCGAATGGTATCAAAATTATTCAATTTCGACAACTTTGGACGAAGTTATGATCAATTAAATAACGCTGAGTTAGACTTCCGTATACAAATGAGACACCATAACTTCGTCTAATGTTATCGAAACTGAATAATTTTGATACCATTCGGTTCATTTCGAATAGGAGTATCACTTAGCCCTAAATTTTTAATTTCGAACTTTTTGCCCCGAATTCGACTTGGTCGAATTCGTGTCCGGGGTTCGAAATAAGTAAATTTTAAGCTCAGATTCGTGATGAGCGTGGTCGATTACCTACATAAAATTATTTCTAGAAGAAATAATAATAATTTTTAAGGTGTCTCCCCAATTGTTCATGATTACCCTTTTTGTGATGTTGAAAGGTGTTAAAACAAATGCTCAGAACTACCTATGTTTATTTAAGTCGGATTTCGATGAATTTAGTACTATTCGACTCTGCTCGAAGAGCTCTTTCAAATGATAAATGATTTGCCATAAAAAGTTCAAAAAATCTAAAAGAATAGAAAGGAAAAAAGGGAGGACCAGCCTTGGTATTACCATTTAGTTTTACTATAAATTGATAAATCGAACCCTCAACTCTATAAATATATCAACATTTTAGGAATGGAGACAACTGATGATCCTAACACTCAAGACAATAATCAAATTGATTCTGACATGCCATCATCATCAACAAACAGTGACGGGAACGGAAATCAAATATCTAAAAATCAGAATCAACAACCATTGACACTTTCTCCTTTGATAGCTCTTATTCTTCTTCAAATAAATAAAATTCCATCTGGACGACAACTTTTTTCTGAAATGGGTAAATTTTACTTTACCATTGTATACTTCATTAACACAAATTTATTAGGTGGACATGCTTTCATTTCGGAGCAACTTCAGCAAAGTATCCGTGCCTTTGCTGAGATGTCAAGTTCAGCGTGGCCACAAGGCAGTGCTGCTTTTACTGATGTTCAGCGACAATTGCGAATGATTGCATCTCAAATTAGTGGAACTGTTATTTCTCAACAACATCGACAAAAGAGCCAATTGTTGGATGGAAATAGAATAGTTTGAATATTAAAATTTTTGACTTTTTAATTTTTAAATTAAGGTTTGTGGCTCCGGACCTTATCAAAATGCTAATGTTAATAATCCAAGTACGACTCTGGATAAACCTGCTGCCTCCTCTACTTTTCATCAAAATGCGTGGCTTGCATCTCAAGCCGCAAATCAACAACAACCGCTTGGAAACGCACAATTTGGCGGAGCTGGAATTTATAAAAATGTTACGTTTGGAAATACAAATGGAGGTGTAAATGCAACAGGAACGGCAAAAAAGCAGATTTCGTCAAAATGCATTGGTTCTAGTGGCTTGGGAGCTCCAGAACAACGCGAGCCGCAGATCTACAATTATGCTCCCAATTGTGAGATTTTTTCAACCGAATTTTTTCTATTTTTTATTTTTATAGGTTCAATTCATTCTTCTTCTGCGATGGCAAATCATCTCCAACAGCTTGTTGCCGCAGGAACAACTCATAGGCGTTCACGTAACCCTAACTGGACTTATCATTTTCCAATTTATCAGCAATGGTTGGATCTTGTTTTAACTTTGCCTTATCCAATTATGCTTAATGAAATTGTTATCAAACCACATGCTTCTTCACTTGCTTGTTTGTTTATTTTTTTAATTTTTATTAAAAAATTTTTTTTTAAGCTGCACCTTCTGCCGTGCAAGCCGAACTTTCTTCTGATCCTATTGGTATTGATTGGGTTGCTGTACGTTCTCCAATTCAAACTTTGGGGTGTTCTAGAATTACTATTCCAACTACAAATTACAAAAGCCCTGTTAAAGCGGTATTTATTTTTTAATTTTTTTATTTCACGATGTTACTCTTAAAGGTTCGTTTGCGCCTTAAAAAACCTCTCGAATCGAATAGTTTGGGTTTAATGCAAATTCAATTGAATGGAAGTACTCAACTTGCAGAATTACAACATAATAACACTACAAAACAACATTTGGAACTTTTACATCTTTGGTTAACTTTATTCCATCAAATTGTTATTTTGTCGAAAGAAGAAGGAGGAAAGGATAAATCTACAAACAACAAATTTTTGTTAGAACCTTCACTTGCACAACAATTAGTTCAATTATTTTTGTGTATTCATGGATGGCCTGGTGATGATGTTTTGCAATTACTTTATAAAATTATGCTTGATATTGAAACTGAAACAGTTTTGCTCGGAGATGTTTTGCTAGGAGATGAACCTTCAAATATTTCAGTTGTCAAAATTATTATTGACCATTTATGTATGGATTTTTAATAATTTTTTTTGTTAAATATTTTTTAGTAACGAATCATGAAATGGCATCTCCTGACAAATTAAATATGCATTTGGCGGAATTGCTTTTTACTCTCTGTTCAACTCCAATTTCTTCTTCTAAAAGCACTATGCCTAAGGAACGAATGTCTCAATTACTTTCTCGTCAAGAAGAATTGTTTCGTGGAGTTGTCGATTTATTGCAACATTTGACTGTACAGTCTACTGATTATTTGGCTGATTCTAATGAAGATTGGTCTAGAAGAGATGCAAAATGGGTTTTTTTTAGGATTTTCTTAATTTTTAATGTTTATTTTTCCCCTAAAATAGATGGCCCTTTCTTTGCTAATGTGGTCAAGTTCTTGTGTTATTTGGCGTAATTCTGATCCAGCTTGCTCGCAATATAAGCAAACTTTGGCAATGTGTTCTGAGCTTTCTCCAAAGATTATTTTGTATTTTTTTAAATTTTATATTTCTTTGAAAATATTTTTTAGGCAATTAGCTCGTTTAAGTTTATGTGACACTAATTATTTTGGAACAATTTCGAATAATTCAATTTATGAGCATGTTTGGAAAGCTTCCCGTTGGTTGCTTTGCTCGCTAGCCCGTGCTCAACCAGAGCTTTTGGATCAACTTTTGGACATTTATGGATTTGATGAATCACCTATTCCAGAAAATTTAATGATTTTGGCTGCTCTCTCACATATTTGCCAATCTAAACCGGCAATTAATAGATTGCTTAATAGTTGTAGTTTCGAGATTTGGATACAAAAAACTGTGCAAATTTGTGAGCAAGATCGTTAGTTTTAATTTTTAAATTTTTAGCTGGGGGATTATGAGGGTTCTTTTTTAATATTCTGGTTGGTTTTGTGCTATTCCTCTTTACCCCCTCCTTTTTAAAATTCATTAGCGGTGTCGAAAACTTAAAATTTATTGGCTCTTGTCCAGTTCAGGCGTCCAATCGCACCTTTATACGTCCAAACAACCTTTATAGTCCAATGAAGTTTATACGTCCAAACAAATTTTTGCGTCCAAACAAATTTTTGCGTCCAATCAACTTTTTTAAGTACCCGGTTCAACACTAAATTACCGTAAAATCTATTGAAATAGAAAGTTTTATTTACCCCCAGAGTTGTAATACACACGCATATTGCCAGACCGTAGGTTTTAACACATAGAACCGGGACTAAAAAAGTTGATTGGACGCACAAAAATTCGTTTGGACGTATAAACGTTTCATTGGACGTATAAAGGTGCGATTGGACGTCTAAATTGAACAAGAACCAATTTATTTACCTAATTTTCAGAAAAAGAAGAGGAAGATTTGCGTGAACTTCAAGCAATTGTTCAATGTATAGAAGAATTAACTATAATGACCGATGTTTGTAAATTTCTCGAACAAAGTGAATATGGACCAGCTTTCTTCCGAAATATTATGAATTTCCTCGTTAATGCAACAAAAAATACTGAACGTATTTCTACTGCAATTCCTCACGGTGAAAGGAAATATTTTCATAGTGATGTGATTAATAATGTTGTTAATGAAGTTGTTCCTCGTATTCGTTCTTCATTTATTAATTTAACTCGAAGGTTTTTTTAAAATTATTTTGAGGTCTAAAAAATAATTTTTTTCTATAAAGATGTTTAACTTTTGGTGATAAACATCGTGCAAGAATTGCAAAATATCTTTGTAAAATATTGCGAGATAAAAATGAGAATTCTTCAAATAGTTTTTTCCAACCAAAACCTTTAAATGATTTTATTTTACAAATGCTTCATCGTTTAATTTTGGATGATGAAATTATTAAGGTTTTTGTATTTTTTTTGTTTTAGGGTAGCAACCAGATCCTTCATCTTTCTGGTTGCCGGGGTAGAACCTTCGGGGTTTTGTGTGTGGGGTTGCTACCCTATCTTGCTTAATTTTTACAATTTTTATTTTAGGTGCATTTCACTGATGTTGTAGAACAATTACCTGACGGGGTTGTTTTGCACAACACAATTTTACCAATTTATGAAAGTCATAAACGAATGGTGCATCCAATTTTTGGTTGTCTCTCTGATGATTGTGTTCTCAATTTTGGTCTTTATACAAAATGTTCTGAGCTAATTCCTTCTTCGCTTCAATCGGGTGCTGATACTATTGAAGAATCCTCAACATATGCATCGAAAGTTTCATCAAAGACGGCTACTTCCACTGAAAAACCTCCGTTAAAGAATACAAAATATTCGGCAGCAGATCACTGGTTAAAA